CGAAAATACATATTTAGAGAGTGAAATTGAATCTGATTTTGATAATAATGATCAAAATAATTTAGAAAATTACCAATTAATTAAATATATGGTTAGAAAAACTACTAAATTTTCCTTTAGGTTTGTTGATTTTGATTTATCTTCTTTAGCTTTTTCCGTGTTTGAGAACTTGGATGGGAATGAACCTAAGCCTTTTAGGAATATATTTAATTTTGAAAATAATTATCAACTGGCAAAAGCTATAAAAAAGAATTAGAGTCATTAATTAAAAATAAAACTTGGAATTTAGTTTCTAAGGCACCTAATCACTGCAATAAAAAATTATTTTTGTAACAAAACGTTTTTGTCTCTAAATTTATTTTTTCCGTTATTAATGACATTAGAGACGGAATTAGGAATGGAATAACGTTAGTTACGTGAAATTTAGGGACGGAATTCTGTTATATTTTTTTGTAGTGATTTAATAATAATGATAAAATAATTTAGAAATTTACCAATTAACTAAAAATATGGTTACAAGAACTACTAGGTTGTCCTTTAGGTTTGGTGATTTTAATTTCTCTTCTTTAGTTTTTCTGTGTTTGAGAACTTGGATGAAGATGAACCTAAACCTTTTAGGAAGACAATTAATTCTGAAAATAAGTCTCAACTATTAAAAGCTATCAAAGAAGAAATAGAGTCATTAATTGAAAATAAAACTTGGGATTTACTTCCTAAGTCATCTAATTGTTCTCTCATAGATTGTTAGTGAATTTATAAAATTAACAGAAGATGATGGTATTGGACCCAAAGTCCAAATGACTCAAAGCTGAATGTAACAACTTCCATCAAGCTGCGGAGCTTCCATGGAGCAAGAGGGTTGTCTTCCACAGGCCTCTGGACAGTAAGCTCCATCAACCCCGAGTTGGCAACTTCGTAATATTAATGGAAGACCCCGGCACCTACATGTCCTATATGGAAGGTTCTATGGGTCAAAATGAAAGAAAGAAGGAGGAGGATTCCATGTGACTCGAGGTTGTTGGGGACATATCCCCGTAGACCATCTAAGAGTATGATGGAAACAAGTCAGGGTAAGTTGCAGGTCTGATCCAGAGGCAATGGAAGAGGTTCGGAGCGAATGGAACCCGGTCCAGAAACAACAGAAGACGTTCAAAACGAATGGAATCCGGTCCAGAGGCAATGGAAGCGGTTGGGAGCTGATGGAAGGAGGTTACCTGGTGGTTAAGAGAGGTGGAGGAATAATTGGAACTGCCTCTTCTAGATGTGGTTATTCTAGCTTAGGATTAAAATTAGAAAAAAACACAACACACAGAAGCACAACCAGATCAAATCATCTATCTTTCTATTTTTTTCTTTTATGTTCTAGTTTCGTTTATGCAATTTAATTCAAGTTACATGCTTTCTGAAATCTATTTACTTGCTTTCCGTAGATTTTCGTAGTTTAGTTCGATTAATCGCGTGAGATCTCAGTTACCCGACGAAGGATTGGCTCTTTGTAGTACTTCCGGAATCCACACTAACAATATCGATAAATTATTTTGGAACTTCCGAATTTCAAGCTCCAACAATTGGAACGCCTAGTAGGACCAAGTCGGGTTCGTGTATGCAACTTCGTAGTGGTAAAGTGATCACCATGGAAAACTAGAATCAGAACTCATGTCTGAACATACGTGTAGGAAACACTGGAATTGGAACACCGGTTCACCCCAGTGGAAGCCGCACATCAGGGCTGAGGAAAGAAGAAGAATCATCATCGACTGCAACGATGGTGGATATGGTACGCAGAGAAGTAAACTAATGTATTCAGGCTGGAATCGGGGATATCGCATACGAAATCTCTAGGAAATTAGCTGATGTGATCCGGCCAACTGTGAGGAATGAAGCGTTTCAGATTCGCAAAGAAGAATGTTGAGCAGCGGTTAGTGGAGTTCAGAATTCTGGAATTTCAGGAAATACATATGGAGTTCTGAGAGGAATAGCTCCATCTGGTGGAGGGATTCCATCCCTCACAGGGAATGTCGGTTCCAGCTTAGGTCGTGGAAACGCTGGATCACCCAGGGGGCCGACGAGTTGAGCAGGTTTGCAGTTTGGCAATGTAACGATTCTCCCATACCCACAAGGAGGGCAGACCAGTGGAGGCTTTGACCCTCAGATGGTGGGAGGACCGGATGTCGCTGGAAGCGGTGTTTATGGAGCCCATCCAGGTAGAACATTGCCAAGGCAGTTCACAGGTCAGCCTATATGGAATGCACCTCCGCAGTCATGGGTTTAACAGACTCCATATGCCGTTGTCCCTCAGGGAGGAATGACTGGCCAGGCTTAGGGACTAAGAGGGCAGCCGCTGATTCCTAATCAGCAGGATGCCCGACCATTGATAGATACATATATTCTAGCAGAAAGTATACGAAGGGATTTCCCACGAATGAAATTTGAAGAGTGACCGGTGTATCAAAGACCTTATCCAACTTGGGTAAGTGAGATGATGTCGTTGCCTGCTCGAAATAAAGTGCCAGATTTTACATTGTTCTCAGGCAAAGATGAGAGATAAACGATAGAGCATATTGGGAAATTTACAGCTCAGTTCAGAGACTTAGGAGGAAATGATTGGTATCGTTTGCAATTATTTTCTTTATCTCCAATGGGTGCTGCATTTTCGTGGTATACATTGTTGGCTCCAAGTACTGTGCGGTCTTGGTCAGATTTGAAGAGGCTTTTCCATGACCGATTTTATGCGCCACCAGTGGAGACTACAATATCCCATCTGGCAGCTATAAAACAGGGGTATGATGAGCCTGTTGCACAGTTTTTGGAAAGATTTTGACAAGCTAAGACACGGTGCACAGTGCAAATTCCTGAACAGCAAGCAACTATGATGGCAGTAGATAACATGCGATCAGATCTTCAAGAACGGTTAGGAGTTCAAGATTTCCAAGATTTTTCACATTTAAGTGCACTGGCAATGAGAGCAGAAAAGCTCATCTGATAGAGACGGGATGTTGCAGTTGGAAGGTGGAAGAAAAATGGAAAAGCCGGGGTAACATGCTGTGCAGATGAGGAAATTTTGGCCGATGAGGAATGTTCTGAAGAACAAGATGTGTTGGCCGCTGAGTTGTTGAAAGGAAAAACTTATTCTTGTTCAGCATTAAGGCCTACAAAGGGTATGGAGATCAGAGGTGTGTAGTATACCTTCGATGTGTCTAAGGTCGAACAGATATTTGATCATCTATTGAAGGACAAACAAATCAAACTCCAGGACGGGCAGCGAGTGCCGTCACCAGAGGAACTGAAAGGGAAAGTGTACTACAAGTGGCGTGGGAGCTATACATATGCTACCACCAATTGTATGTACCTACGAAATACAATCCAAAAGGCCTTAGATGGAGCAGATTAAAATTAGCATAGAAGAGTATGCAAGTAGACGCAAATCCATTTCTAGCTCCGTCCATTAACACCATGTCCACAAGAGGTCCCAAGAGACAACACAAAGGGAAGCAACCGGTTCGGAAGCCTGTTCATGAATGACTCGGACCTAGGATACCACAACGGGGTTCAATCTTTGATAGACTAGTTGTAGGAAAGCTACTTAATGGAAATGGTGGAGGTAAGGAACCTAGAATTCTGGAGCGGAACCTCAATCTGAAAGTGACGATTCCAAATGCCAGGGAAGTTCGGGAATGCAATAACGCAATGACTAAAGTCATAGCTCCAGACTTAAATATTAAGCCGGAAGTTATGATTCCAAATGCCAGGGAAGTTCAGGAACGCAATAACGTAATGACTAAAATCATAGCTACAGGCTCAAATATCAAGTCGGATGCCACTGTGGCCGAGGTGAAAATCGCTAGTGGAAAGTGAGTCTGGACTATTACATCCGCCGTTCAGATCACCATTACTCCAAAAATGACACGGAAACCTCCATCAACAGTGGATTCAGAGAAGTGGACAGTCAATGTGTCGGAGGTAAATGACAGGAAGGCAATGGGTGACGTCACGCGTTCCCAGAAAAGAAGGGCACAAAGGAAACGATTACAGGCTAGGCTGGAAGCTGAAGGTATCCAACTAAATCAAAATAGTGCGGGGGCAAAGGGTAAGAAAATTGAATCAGAGGTTCAGAAAACCATGAATCGGGATGAGAAAGCCCCGAAAGTTGAGGAACATGAGGAAATACTTCAGAAAAATCGAGAGTTGCAACCTCGCTTGAGTTTTTCTACGCCAAGCGCCAGATCTGCTCTAAATTGGCAACGCCAATGGGTGTCGAAAATTACACAGCCGAAGGAGCTTGATGCTAAAGCTGGCCAAATATCGGTCGTTGGGTTGTTGCCGGTTCAGTGTAAAGCTCCGGAAGGGGAGCAGAATTATGAGGGAGTGATCATAGATGAAGAGTAGCTGCATAATGGAATGATGTAGTGACAACGGTCACATTTGATCGAATTGGGTCGGGGCAGAATAAACATGTGAAGCCCCTGTACATTCGAGCTTTAATGAAAGGACGACCTGTGGGTAGAGTATTGATAGACGGCGGCGCATTTGCTAACGTGATGCCATTTCGGACATTCAAAAAATTGGAAAGACAAGGGACGATTTAATACCAACCTCAGTACGAGCCACAAATTTTATAGGAAACTCGTACAAGCCAACGGGAATTGCTAGTGTTGAGGTGCAAGTTGGCACAAAAAAGCTGCCCTCAGCGTTTGTGATAATAGACAGCCGCCCATTGTAGGCAGCATTGTTGGGGCGGGATTGGATTCACGTTTGTGAGTCTGTCCCGTCAACTTTGCACCAGAAGTTGCTATTTTGGGATGGCGACGAGGTTCAAGAAATGGAAGCAGAGAAAAATCCATTCGCAACGGAGGTCATAGCTGTAGATACGACTTTCTATTATTCCAAGATGATTCCATTGTCGGAAGTGATCGACTCCATTCCTAACGAGGGAAATTATGAATATGTGTTTAGTGATAACTAGTTCAGGGTTGAAGCGAGGGCCGATCCACAGCCTATGAATGAAGAAGATTATGATGAATTTCGAATGCGACAAAATTCAATGTGAGCCGCCCGGAGTAGGCTCCATTGCGAATACAGAGCCGTTCATAGCAGGTTCCACAGAAGGTAGCGAGCGGCTCGGAATAGGCTCTATTGCGAGTTCGAAGTCGTCCAGAGCTAGCTCCTTGGAAAACCTTAAGCCACCCGAAACAGGCTCTGTTACGCAACATCCAGAGCCGGCCAGAGCAGACCCCGTGGAAGGAGCAGAACAACTCAGAGGAAAGTCCATTGGTAGCTCAGAATCATCCAGTGAAATTGCCAGTGAAGTAGAATTACCATCGCCCGTACACAAAACATATCCAGCGTTCCAGGCCCAAGACCCGCTAGAGGATGTTGATTTAAGTACTGATGGAGTTTCACGAATCACCAAGGTTAGTGCATTGTTAACATCATAAAATCGAGCCGCTTTGGTAACACTTATAAAGGAATACCGGGATTGTTTCGCTTGGGATTACAATGAAATTTCAGGCTTGGCTCGAGAACTTGTGGAACATCAACTACCTATAAAATTCGGATACAAACCCCACAAGCTGCCACCGCGAAGGTATAACCCAGATGTGTATGCAAAGATCAAGGAAGAAATTCGGCGGCTCTTGGGGGCAGGATTCATTCGGACTTGTCGATACCCGGAATGGATGGCCAATGTCGTCCCTGTACTCAAGAAAAATAGCAAATTGTGGGTAAGTGTCGATTACCGTAATCTGAATTTGGCAAAACCCAAAGATGAATACGTTATGCCTATCACCGATATGTTAGTGGATGCAGCCGGCACGAACGGGAGTTTGTCATTTATTGATGGATATTCCGGCTATAACCAGATTTTCATAGCCGAGGAAGATGTTGCAAAAATGGCATTCCGATGCCCAGGGGCCCTTGGAGTATATGAATGGGTAGTAATTCCGTTGGGGTTGAAGAATGCTGGAGCGACTTACCAACGAACAATGAATACCATATTTCACGATTTAATCGAACAGTCGGTGGAAGTTTACATCGATGATATCTTGGTGAAATCCAAGAGTTTTTCAAGACATCTGTTGGATCTCAAGCAAGCTTTCCGCCGAATGAGGCACTATAATTTGAAGATGAATACAGTGAAGTGCGCATTCGGAGTGGGCTCCGGAAACTTTTTAGGCCTCATGGTGCATAATAAGGTTATCAAGGTGGATAGTAACAAGAAGAGAGCTATCATCAATGCTCGACCACCTGAGAATCTAAAACAGCTCCAAGGATTCCTTGGGCAGGTGAACGTTTTGCGAAGATTTATTTCGAATGCTGCAGGAAAACTTAAAACCTTTTATGCGTTACTCAAATTGCGAAAGACGGAGGAATTTGTGTGGAAGCCGCCACACCAGCTGGCTTTCGAAGCTATTAAGGAAGCTCTGGCCAATCCGCCAATGTTGATGCCACCGCAAGCAGACAGACCTTTACGTTTATATGTTTCGGCCACTGAGAATACGGTTGATTGCTTACTGGCGCAGGAGGCTCCCGATAGAAGCGAGCGTGCCATTTTTTTACCTTAGTAAGGTAATTAATGATGCGGAGACAAGGTACACTCCTATGGAAAAATTATGTCTCGCCTTATTTTACGCTTGCACGAAACTTGAATATTATTTGGCCCCGAGGGAGACGGAAGTGGTGTGTCATGTCGATATTTTAAGATATTTGTTAAGCAGGCCAGCTTTAAGAGGGAGGCAAGCAAAATGGGCTGTAAAGCTAGCCACATTTGATCTACGATATGTATCAATTAAAGCTGTTAAGGGGCAGGTCATTGCTAATTTTCTGGCAGATCATCCGAGCTTGGTATTTGACCAAGCGGTTGATCGTATGGAAGCCGTTATTAGTCCGATGTCATAGATCTTGAAGTTCGATAGCTCTAGCATGCAGATTAGTGCTAGAGTTAGGGTATTTATTGAGAGCCCATGGGGAAGAAAGTGGACCGTTGCCAGACCATTGGCACCCGAATTTACTAATAATCAAGTAGAGTATGAAGCCTTATTAGTGGGATTGAGGATTCTCCATAAAAAAGGAGCCAAGAAGATTAAAGTTCAAGGCGATTCACAATTAATTCTGAAGCAAATCGCTGGTGAGTTCCACTGCAAAGATTAAAAATTGAGAAACCTTCGAATAGAGGCAGTTATGATGTTACAAAATTTTGATGACGCGGTGGTGGAATTCATACCTCGAGCTGAAAACGGAATAGCTAATGATTTAGCTCAAGAAGCCTCTGGGTATAAGTCATCCGCCATAGGAAAGTTCAAATCAGAGTGAGTATGTCTGTGCCCAGTGGAAGTGGAGGATTGGCGTATGGAACTAAGAAAGTATTTGGAACAACCAACTGATGATACTCTTGAAAAGCCCTGGAAGCAGGCTCTGAAGTGTACTTTGATTGACGGAGATCTTTTCCGCAGAGCTGCCCATGGAATGTTAATGAAATGCGTAAATACTCAAGAAGCCATGAAGGTGATGGGTGAGGTTTGTGGAGCACACAAATCCAGATTAGTCATGAGATTGACAATCCGACGGTATGGGTATTTTTGGCCATCAATGACAGAAGACTGCATCAAGTATGCTCAAGGATGTGAAGCGTGTCAGCGACATGGTCCTTTGATCCGAATTCCAGTGGAAGAAATGCATGCAGTGGTGAAACCATGGCCATTCCGAGGATAGGCGATGGATATCATCGGAAAGATCCATCCGCCATCCTCCAGACGACAGTCGTTCATATTGGTGGCACGGATTATTTCATCAAGTAAATAGAAGTTGTACTATTGGCCAACATAACATATCAAGAAGTGATCAAGTTCGTTAAGGAACACATTATTCACCGGTATGGAATCCCATAAACGATTACCGCCGATCAAGGTACTGTTTTTAGCAACGATAGAGTGGCCGCCTTCGCCGCACAGTACGGGATCGCTCTTTTGCATTCATCCCCGTATTATGCCCAAGCGAATGGGTAGGACAAAGCGGCCAATAAGGTCTTAATTGAGGTAATTAAAAAGGCTGTGAAAGACAACTCGAGAAGATGGCACGAAGTTTCAGGGGAGGCTTTATGGGCCTATAGGCAATACCAAAATAAAGCCACTGGTTGCACTCCATACCAACTGGTGTATGGGCAAGAGGCGATATTGCCATTGGAAATCACGGTGCCATCGTTACAAGTGTTGAACCATAATTTGCTTAATCCCGAGGAATACGACACAACTATGTTACAAAAGTTGGACGACGTACACGAGGATCGGATGATGACATTGGAGAATATCAGAGTGAATAAAACAAAAGTAGCATGAGCTTACAACAAAAAGGTACGTCGGCGAGCATTCCATGAAGGGCATTTGGTATGGAAGGCAGTGTTACCCAAAGGATTCAAAGATAATACGTTCAGAAAATGGTCTCCTATGTGGGAAGGTCCATATCAAGTGAGTAAAGTGTTGCCTAATGGTGCTTATAGATTGATGAGTTTTGATGGGATAGAACATAGAAATGTTATCAATGCTAAGCACCTTAAGGGATACATGTTGCCACTTGAGTTCAGATAAAGAATGAAATGGAAAAGTGAAAGCAGGCCCTGTTTAGGCCGCTAGATACAAGGCAAAATGAAAGCAGACTACTAAGCCGCCAATATGCAAAATTAACACAGGCTATTAAGCCGCTGATGTGCAAAATGAAACAAAATGGAATTGAGTTGTCTTAAGTAGCTAAATAAGTAGCAAATCATAATATCCAGATCAAACTGCGGATAGCATGGAGAACGGTGAATTGGTTCCAAAATTTATGGTACGGTGGGAGGAGTATCCTTTGCAGGTGGGTCCATATTTGGCTCGGAGTTACCAGCACATGGCGCTGCTTCCATGGGAGCTGGATCCACCGGAGTCGGAATCGGGTCTTCCAGAGATAGAGCCGTTCCATCAGGACCTAGCGCTTCCATGGGAACTGGATCCGCCGGAGTTAGGATTAGATCTTCCAGAGATGGAGCTGTTCCATCAGGGCCTGGCGCTGCTTCCATGGAACTTGGATCCGTTGGAGTTGGAATCAAGTTTTTCAGAGCCGGAGCCGTTCCATCAGGATTTGGCGCTGCTTCTATGCAAACTGGATCCGCTGGAGTTGGAATCAAATTTTTCAGAGGCGGAGCCGTTCCATCAGGACCTGGCGCTGCTTCCATGGGTACTGGATCCATCGGAGTCGTAATCGGATCTTCCAGAGCTGGAGTTGTTCTATCAGGAACTGGCGCCGCTTCTACTGGAGTTGAAATTTTCAGAATCGGGACTATTCCACCAACAACTGGAACAACATCTGTATAAATCAACCTGCATTCGGCGCTTCTCCACCAATAGCCGTTCCAACTCCGCAATATCAGGACCTAATTGGGTGAGCCGAGCTTGGAGACGAGCCATTTCGGCTTGCTTTGCTAATTGCTCAGTGCGAGAAGCTTCAAGTTGATTTGAAGCACTGGAAGCTTCAATCCTCAGTGTGCGAATATTCATCATGCAAAGACTGCTTTTGTTTCCTTAATGTTCCCAACTGATCCAAGTGCATTCTCCCGAAGTCCCGGTTCTCCTCTTCCATCATGCGGCACTGAGCGAAGGCGTTTACTTTGGAAGATAAGCAGATCCATTGCACGCGAATAGACTCGGGAAGGTTTGCATAGAAAGGGGATTCCGCTAAATTTAGCAAAGCCAACTGGATGGAACTCAAGGTTTCAGGATCACCCGGTGACGTTTCCAAGCATGTGGTGAAGAATTGTTCGTCCAGACCCTCGGGGATTTGACTCAAAAGTGCCGAAGTAGATGTTGCATCCCGACACCCAATGAAATACTCCCGAATACGCTCCAGATTGATAATCAAGTCGGACGTAACACTACGTGCACGATGTGGGGTAGGCGTATGGTTTGGAGGTGAAAAAGGAGTCCCCGATATCCTCGAAGGTGCATGCTGGTAAAGGACGTTGACAATTACCATTCTAATGTGAATGTGAAGAGGAATGCAGTTTCGGTGATGGAAATACCTTGGATACCAAAGCTTTGGGTGGATGAACCTTCAAGGAAGGATTCACCATGGTGTGAGACGTAGTCCTCACCGTCGTGGTTGCATTAACGCCTTTGTGCATTTTCTTAGCGGGCTGGATACAATGTTATTCACAAATGAGAAAATTATGAGCTCTCGTAGAAGTACATGGATGAGTATGAACCTAGGTGGTGGGAGAGATAGTTGCACGTCGCTTCTCCGAAGGTTTCGGGGCAATAGCTTTGCCTTAGCATGCCAAGTTGATTTACGTACAAAAAAGGAATCCGTCACTGTGAACACAAACAGAATCAGCCAAATATTTAGTGAGCACAACCCAATGAGAAGATGAAAGTTTACCTTCGATGATCTCAGGAGCGGCAGTTTCAACCTCTTCAGCGGCAACATCAATTGTTTCGCTTTGGTGGTCAGAATCGGTATCAATAAAATGGCGTAGCCTCGAAGCCGAAGGTTCAGCAAAAAGAACGTCCCTCAAGAATTCCCACCAGCTTGCAAACGCCAAATCGGTGGAGGGCCTGGTTTCGAAAATAAGAAGGGACGAATCTTTAATGGCTGCATTCAAGCCCCGATACATATCAAGAATAGGTCCCTTGCTGCTGGAGGAAAAGGCCCTTGGCAATGGAAATGGTACATTGGGATTGTTTGTCGGAGCCCAAACTGACGCACATACAACTGTAGGAAGTATCCCTCTACTCCAACGAGTAAAGAACGGGACGTAGGCTTTAAACCCAACAATAAGGTCCTTGCGGTTAAAACTTGATTCCATGATGAAGTGATGGAAGACCAGTCAGGGGAACCATCCTCCTTCACTGGCGGGGGTTTAGAAAACCAATCAGGCCAATGAGATCGCTCTGCCAAAGGAAAAAATCGTACGTCCTTACGGTTACTCGACGACAAGAAGAAATTAGCAATTTGAAAAGCATCGCGGGATCACTCAAAGCCAGCTAAACACACCGATAAGTTCTTCGTTCGAAATTTGGAATGGCCACGGTACGTCAAACAACTCGGGAAACATATAAGCAGCCCAGAGTTGAAGAAACCATAAGGGCCCCCTCTGGGTGGATACACGCTCCTCACGACCTAGGCGAGCATGGAGATCATTAAAGGTTCTTTAAAAATGGCCTAAGAAGAATTGGGCAAGCGCCAAACAGTCACCCTCCATCATCGACGATACTAAGGGTTCATATTCCCTAACCAAGTTCCTACCAGTTGCGCCTATGAAGAAGCGATTAACCCAAAGCATTAAAAAAGTCCTATGGTTATCTAGCAAACTGGCTTTCGAGTTCAGCGCCCCATATTTCTCGTATAGTAAGGCGCTCGAACTAGACTTTGAATATTCTATACCAAAATCAACAACATTCGATGGAGTAAGGAGCAAAGTGTAATCATCCCCTGTTACAGGGAGACCTAACAACACCGCAATATCAAACAATGTGGGTGAAAGCAGGCCGAAAGGAAAGGAAACTCTTTTCACCGTTGGACACCAAAACCCTAGAAGTACAAAAAGAAGATCGGAGTTGGGATGAGAAACCTATGTGCTGATGGTAATCATATCGTCAATCCCCCAAGCTTCCCATTGAGTGGCGACTACGCCGCCAAGGGTCGCCGTCCATTCCTTGATGGTCGTACTGTCAGGATACCAGGTTAAAACCCTACCTTGTCGAAGAGCCAACGAATAAAAGGGTTTTTCGATTAGCAAGGGGGATATCCCATCGCCGGCGATGACTTGTTGGAGTTCTTCTCTTTGGAGATCCATCTCGGCCGATGGAGTTAATATCCACGAATCCCCATCGGCGGACAAGCGCACAGGTCCCTCGGCCGGCATCGAATAGTGGATCGTGCCTGGGACCGCCGACACCGGCAAGGGCTCTTCCACACTACCGGAAGGTTGGGTTATCGGAGAAGCCATACGAATCGACGCCTGCACTCACTAACCAGAGCGGGAGAATCAAAAGGAAAGTGAGAGAAAAATGAGTGGAAAGACGGTAGACAAGGGAAGTGTTGAGATAAACCCCGAAAAAAGCCTTCAATTGTCTTTTCTTTCAGGCGATGCGGGAATCGAAGAGTGCAGCCGTCACATCAAGGTTGGAGGGCTTTACGCGATAAATCAAAAAGGGGTTGGATTTTACACTAAGGCCCATGGATGTGAGCTCCATAAGAAGAAAATCCCAAAAAAGAGTAAAGCTCTACCTGATTCGCATTTTATCCCTTTTTTTAGGAGGGCAATTGTTGGACCCCAAGTCCAAATGATTCCAAGCTAAAGTAACATCTTCGATCAAGCTGCGGAGCTTCCATGGAGCAAGAGGGTATGACTTCCACAGGCCTCTGGACAGTAAGGTCCATCAACCCTGAGTTGGCAACTTGGTAATATTAATGGAAGACCCCGGCACCTACATGTCCTATATGGAAGGTTCTATGGGTCAAAACGAAAGAAAGAAGAATGAGGGTTCCATGTAACTCGAGGTTGTTGAGGACATATCCCCGTAGACCGGCTAGGAGTATGATGGAAGCAAGTCAGGGTAAGTTGCAAGTCTGATCCAGAGGTAATGGAAGAGGTTCAGAGCGAATGGAACCCGGTCCAGAAATGACGGAAGACGTTCAAAACGAATGAAACCCGGTCCAAAGGCAATGGAAACGGTTGGGAGCTGGTGGAAGGAGGTTTCCTGGCGGTTAAGAGAGACGGATGAATAATTGGAACTGCCCATTTTAGTGGAACAGGTGGTTATTCTAGCTTAGGATTAAAATTAGGAAAAAACACAATACACACAAGCACAACCAGATCAAATCGTCTATTTTTCAATTTTTTCTTTCATGTTCGAGTTTCGTTTATGCAATTTAATTCAAGTTACATGCTTTCTGCAATTTATTTATTTGTTTTCCGTAGATTATCGTAGGTTAGTTCGATTAATCACGTGAGATCTCAGTTACCCGATGACGGATTGGCTCTTTGGAGTATTTTCAGAACCCACACTGACGATATCAACGAATTATTTTGGAACTTTCGAATTTCAAGTTCCAACAGATGGTATAGTTTAAGATTATATTAGTAGTCAAGAAATTTACACAAAATGAAGGAATAGATTATAATGAGACTTTCGCTTCGTTGCCAAATTTACTACTGTTCGGGTTATGGTGTCATTAGTTGCTTTTTTTTTTTCTATTGAGAGTTAAACAATTAAATATAAAAACTGCTTTCTTATATGGTGACTTAAGTGAGAAGATTTTTATAAAACAACAGAGGAGGTTTATTGATAAAAAAATAAAATGA